TCAGCAAGAATCTATTTCTTGCTAGTTCCTGTCAGTACTCTGGCTGCAGCATTTTGGATTAACTGGAGGCTTTTTAGGGAATTATTAGGACATCCTGATAGTAAAGAGTTACAGTTGTCCAGCCTGGAAGTAACAAGTGCATGGACCAGTTTTTCACCATCACTTTGAGACAGGATATTCCTGATTTAGGTGATATTACAAAGGTTAAAGGAGACTTGGTTTATGTGTGATTTAAAGGAGATATCCTATCATCAAAAATGACTCCAAGGTTCCTCATAGCAGTACTGGAGGCCAGAGGTATTTCATCTAGAGTAACTATATGATTAGACAGCAGATTTCTAAGGTTTTCAGGCCCAAGCACAATGTCAGAGTTTTTCTAGGGATGTGACAGTTACTGTGGCTAGGTGGGGTGGATTCATTTAGACATTTGACATATTCTTCCTGGTGTAACCAAGTTTCAGAAAGACACAATAAATCAATGTGAAGTTCACTTATCAAATCATTCACTAACAGAGTTTTGGATGAGAAAGAACTGATATTTAATAGTCCACATTTGATTGTCCTGATATTTTGTTCTATAAGAGGAGCAGTCTTAATTTTAATTAGGTTCTTTTGAATAACTCCTCTTGAATTGATTATTTATTTATAAGATTTCTCTAAATTGGTTCCTTTTGAACTGATTGTATTGGCCTTACAGCGGGAATCACAGTGCTTTGTGAGACAGCCCAGCACAGCAGAATGAATATGAATTGCTGCCGTATAATAACATTGTCAACGGTACGAAACATTGTGTCTTCCAGGAAGGAGAAGAAGTGAAGGTAGAGGAAGAGAAGGAGTACTTTGGCAAACTGGAGTACACAGTGGACTACAACTTTACTGAAAACCAGGTATGCAGGCGCATACAACTGAGCAATAACAATAGTGATATATATGAAGAGCTTGCTCACTTTCACAGTTTGGAAGCCAACAATGCCTCTAACTTTACAGTTCAACTAATCTGCCACTGTCCCCCTCCTCTTCAAGCTGATAGTCGGCATCCTCCAGGCTCAGGACCTCGCAGCTATGGACATGGGTGGGACCTCAGACCCTTATGTCAAAGTTTACATGCTGCCTGACAAGAAGAAGAAGTTTGAGACTAAAGTTCAGCGAAAGAACCTGTGTCCTATCTTCAACGAGACCTTCACCTTTAAGGTCTGTACACTGATACTGGAAATTAGGTCAAACAACAACAGGTTCAGTAGCATTTTTAAACCATTCAGCACGAGCATCAGATTTCCCCTAAACACACTCTAAAGCACTTTGCTTTATTAAATACCCTCCCTCTCCAGATACCCTATACTGAGTTGGGTGCTAAGACTCTGGTGCTGCAGGTTTTTGACTTTGACCGTTTTGGTAAACACGACGTCATTGGTGAGATCAAGATCCCCATGAACACCATAGACCTCGGACAGCCAATACACGAATGGAAAGATTTGGTTTGCGGGGAGAAAGAGGAGGTACATGATTTTTATTTTGGCATCCAAGAAACATATTAGGAGTATAACAGGCTTTATCAACAATGAAGCAACCAAAGCACTGCTCATATGATATGTGTTTCCCCCCTCACAGCAAGAGAAACTGGGTGATATCTGTATTTCCCTTCGCTACGTCCCCACAGCTGGTAAGCTAACAGTTAACATCATGGAAGCCAAGAACCTGAAGAAGATGGATGTGGGAGGACTGTCAGGTGAACACATATAGTGAGTCAGGTAATGGATGACAGTTATGGTAGGCCCATCCCTTCTGATCTACTGTCTGATACCATTTGTCCAGATCCCTTCGTTAAGGTGGTGCTGCAGCACAACGGGAAGCGAATCAAAAAGAAGAAGACGTCAGTGAAGCAAAACACTCTGAATCCTTACTTCAATGAGAGCTTCAGCTTTGAGATCCCCTTCTCCCAGATCCAGGTGTGTGAACCAGATGTTTACAGCAGACGGTTGAATTGAATGACTTTAGGCTTTTATTATGTGCATGATATTTTGTGTTTTCCATGGAGAGCACCCAGTGTATATGCTCTTATCATTTAAACATATCATCACAAATTTTCCCTGAAATATCTAAACAATTGGTAAGACTGCCATGGAAGGTTGTGTCCAGACATTCATGGTGCTCAGAGGATGAAAGCTGCTAACTTCAGTGATGCCCTGACTGTTTATCCAGAGCCATGAAGTTCATGTTTATGGATTTTTAAAACTGACATTTCTCCTGACAAATAATAAATAAAGAAAGTCTTTATATGCACAGCGGGCTACTTTGTAAAATCTGGGTTCCAAAGTGCTTCTCAAAGTGCAAATATAAATATATACTGTATAACAGAAGCCTATGAAAATGTAAATCAATGAAAGACAAGCAAAGTTAGTAAAAGAATAAAAATAAAGAGAAACAAATCAGGACAGGAAGAATCAACAAATGGCCTTTGAGAAAACTAAGTCTGGTCTAAAAATGATTTGATTTGGCTAATGCAGCTGTGCAAAGTAGACACATTTGAAATTACCCTGATCTGACAAATGCATTAAACTGTCATCATTAGCAAAATGATGACAAGAGATAAAGTCAAACTAAGGTAAACTGTGTGCTAAAGGGAGCTCTGGGTTGGACCGCCATGAAATGCTGCACAGACATTCACATCTGTTTTCATATTCAGGTCAAAGTTTCTCTGTGATCACCTTAAATCTAGTCTGGAAGCCAATCAAGCTCCAGTATGTAAAGTGCATACAGTAAGCGATTTGTGGAAACGCGCTGAGTGCTGAGAATGGACTTTTCAGGAGGAGTGGCAAGAGTCATCTTGTGACCTGCAGGTTAAACCTCTGAAAATTAGTGATATTTCAACCACAAATTAGGAGTAGTATAATTTTCAAAAATGTCACTGTGCTATTTGTGGAAACATCATATCAAATGACTGGAACTGACCTTTACATTAGAAGAATTTGGTCTAACTTGTCCTCTGCTCCACACACAGAAAGTCCAGCTGCTGATCACTGTGTACGACTACGACAAGGTAGGCAGCAACGACCCCATTGGCAAGTGTTGGATCGGCTATGGCGCCTCAGGCCTCGGCCTGCGCCACTGGTCAGACATGCTGGCCAATCCCAGGCGTCCTGTAGCCCACTGGCACACGCTGCAGCCTGAAGACGAGGTGGATACGGCTCTCAAGGCCCCCATTCGCTAAACACAAATGTGTTAATGTGTCAGTTTCACACCAGTGTTTATTTTGTAATGTTTCATTTTTGGGTTCTCTGCATGACTATGTGCCCTTTATACTGTAATGAATACAAACCATAGGAATGCATTGAAAAACATTATGTGCGCTTGCAACACACTGAGATTATACAAACCTATTCACAGCGGATGTGAATGTTTGTGCACTAGCTCATGCGTACTCAGACTGCACAGTTATATGACTGACCGGTTAAATGAGTCACATATTCAAACTCAGTGAAGGGTACTCCAGCAGTTTTTCTTTACCTTGTTTGTCTCCTCCAGCTGTAAACCATCACCTGTCATCACAGGCCTAAAAGCTCGATTCCGATTTTGTTGTTGTTGATGATTTACGTTCAGGTTTGTAAGTGACATGTATCTGACTGCAGTGGGAATGCCATTGAGCTTCTAAACTGATATCTGAGTCACATGTGTACAAGAATAATGTGATGGACAAAAAAAAAAACACCTGGTTACAACATCCTCCTTTCCCTTTGTCTTGAACAGAAAGTTCTTCATAAATATTCATCAAATGTGAAGCATCCTCATCTCTCCACCAACCTGTCATTGTTTGTTGCCCTCTTCCGTGTTTATTTTTCCTGGTGCGGACACTGAATGATGACTATAGGTGATATGTGCCGAGGAGTGAGACGAGCAAAAAGACCACATGAACTCCATTTCATTCCATTTCCAGTTCTGACTGCAGGCACATAGTCATGGATTAGATACGAATCATATCTAGGAGCATATACTATAGAAGTGGCTAAGATGTTCACACATCTGTGAGAAGATAAGCTCTGAGTCACTTGGAGGGGAAAAAAAATGTACTTAAATTAACTTAAGCCACTTCATAGGTCATGTGAATGTAACCACTTCTTCCACAGTTTGTCACTTCTAGTATGTCTGGACAACAGCGTCTCATTTTGTTCTGTCATGGTCAGATTCAATGTAGTACATCAGTGTCTGAGAAGTAACGCTGTGAGGGTGTTCCTAGTATTTTGTCCACTCTATAAGAAAGAAAACTAGAAAGACATGCCAGTTCATTGTGTTTGAGTAATACTAAACTGTTGTTGCAGTGTCGGTATGTATATTCTTTTGTATGTGCCCTTTTCTTTATGGTTTCTTCTTGTTTACCCTGATGACTCCCTCATCTTCCAGTCTACCCTTATTTTTCCCAAAAAGTTTGCTGTGTTTAGTTTCATGTCTTTACTAATGATTGGTCTGTCTCTTTGTGGCTCCTCAGGGGATTCTGTTTGGAGTGTCTGGTATTGTCTGCATATTTATTGTGATCTTATTCTGCCCATGTAAAGTACTTTGGTCAACTGGATGTTTTTAAAGTGCTATATAAATAAATGTTCTTTTCTTTTATTTTTTTATATGGGCACCTGACTATTGATCAAAGACTGAAATGAAAAACTGTGAAGTTCATTCATTCATTCATTCATTCAGTCATTTTCTACCACATAATCCCTAAACGGGGTCGCGGGGACTGTGAAGTTATCTTTCAATATTAATTTTTAAACATTTGAGTGGCTCCTCTTACTTATAATACATTACTAAGACCACAGAACATTCATATTTGCAGTTTGTAGTCCTTATGCTTTGGATCAGTGGTTCCCACTTTTCATGCCCTGTCAAAAAACTGCCCATCTTGTACTTTATACTGTATGTCACCTCCCTGTCTTGCTAATCCGAGTTTAGTTAGCCTTGCTGGTGTCCGAGCACTTGTGTGTGTTTCCAAATGAGTCTGATTCATTCAACGTTAGCTCCTCTTTTGGTGTGCGCCCACCTGCGATTTCTTAACACCCAGAAAGACAAACCCCCATTTGAGAGCCTTTTGGCAAACATGCAAAACAGCTGTTGATATTTTTAGAGATAGTTTTTGCTGTAAAATCTGGTGATTACAATTAAAAAAAATTCAAATTCAAAGCAGGTGTCAATGGGCTGCAGTTTGAGAGTCCTCATGTCATCACATAATATAGAACCAGAGCGCAGAGCAATGAGTAACACTGTTGTCATCAATACACAATAGATAAAGAAAAAAAATCCCCATCTTGATTTAGATGACCTGGGCTTGCATGTTGTATATATCCACAACTTCAAAACTAAAACCAAATAAAAATGGAAAAGAGACCAAACTCAAGTCAAAACTCAGTGCGTGTGATTTTATTATCAATAGCACTTGTCAAGAAGCATAACTTGGCCTGTAGAGTGGCTCTGTCGCTAGAAGACCCTGAAGGAGAAATGTGCCATCCCTCTGTTTTTCCCCCTCTTTTTATTATTTTCCCATTTTACTTCCAGCGACCACCCACCTTCCCTTTCCCGTGGCCCTTTTTACTGTAGGAGGGAGAGAAGGGGAAACATAATCGAATTAAGAAAGGGTGCAAGAGGCAAAATACATACACCGCGGATGTGCTGTTTATCAGATTTTGCATTATGTAAGTACTCACAATTTCTGAGCATGTTGGATTCTGTTCAGGAGCACAATGATCTGCAGGAGAAAAACAAAAATAAATTTAAGATATTAGGGAGAAAATATAACATTATGAAAGTGATCAGTGCTTTAAGTATCGGTAGGTACAGTTTGAATACTAGATCATTTCAGTCACAGTACTACCTCATATTTCTGGTGTTTCAGATGCTCCATGTAGTCAAACTTCTCCGACTCCAGATGGTAGATCCAGTCCCACATCTCCTGGGCCCGTTCCCTTAGAAACACAAAGACGAACATTTAGAAAAGAACTGGGACTCATTATTAGCAGCCTAATTTATATTTTCTAAAATGTATGTGAAAGTGCAGTTTGTTACTAGGGCACCTACTGTTCTATCTCATTTTAGTCTAATGTATAAAATGCTTTTCCTTCTCAAAGTTCTCAAGAGAGTCGTTCTTTCTTCTGTTGCAGTCCTTCTCAATGCAAATGCTATCTTTGAAAAGTTTTGGTCTGGTTTTAAAGCATTCCACAATACTGACGCTTTTAGTGATCTGCTATTAACGACTGATTCAGGAGACTCTGCTATTTTAGCGCTTTTAGATCTTAGTGCTGCATTCAATACTGTAGATCACACGATTCTTATTTCCTGACTTGAAATGTGTTGTGGTATAACAGGTACTGGATTAAACTGGTTTAACTCCTATTTGATTAAATAGGACCTTCTCAGTCAGCCTCGGAGGTTTTTCATCCCCCTCAGCTGTGCTTAGTTGTGGGGAGCCTCAGGGGTCTGTTCTTAGCTACATTCTCCCTTTAGGATCTATTTCTAATAAGTATGACATCTCTTTTCACTGCTTTGCATACAAAACTCAAATGAATTTGCCACTGAGGCTGCATGTCATAGAATATCGTAAAGTTTTTTTGGCTTGTTTAGAGGACATTAAAGCATGGACGTCTTTGAACTTTCTTAATCTAAATGACAGAACACTGAGATTGTGGCATTTGAGCCTGTCACCACTCATGATAACTGTTTTTCTTCACTGATTTCCTATTGTAAACCTTGTACTAGGAATTTGGGAGTTTTATTTGACAGCAAATTTAAATTTGATGGACAAAATTAACTCAGTCATCAAATCTAGGTTTTTTCAGTTCAAAGTTTTAGCCAAAGTCAAACCTTACTTTTGAAAAGTAATTTATGAATTCATCTTATCACGACTTGATTACTGTAATTCCTTGTTCACAGGAATTCTTTACTGTCCCGTTTGCAGCTCACTCAAAATGGTGCTGCTAGTCTCCTAACGGGAGCACATGAATATGGCCACATTTATCCCATACTTGAATCTCTTCACTGGCTTCCAGTTCAATTCAGAAATGAGTTTACGCTTTTGTTGTTTGTTTTTAAGTACTACACGGGTTAGCTCCACTGTACATCTCTGAGCTTATGCATCTCCACACTCTTGGCAGGGCTCTCAGGTCCCCAGACCAAATGCTTCGGGTTATTCTGAAGTCCAGACTTAGACTTAGAAGAGCTCATGCCTTTTGTGTAATGGGTCCCACATTTGAAAATGTTTAAGTCGCATCTAAAAACCCATTTTTATTCTTTGGCCTTTAAACCTGGCTAGGTTTAAATCTTGCTACTCACTTCTTATATTTATGATGTTTACTTGTTTTGTATTTGTCATTTTTACTCACTGATGTACAGCACTTTGGTCGACTCCTATTGTTTGTTTTGCTTATAAATAAATTTGACCTGACTTTGCCTTTTGACTATCAGTTTAGTCAGCTAAAGTAACAACTGCTGCTGGCAGATTTAGCTTCACTGATTTTGCAATGATTGGATAATTTCTGTTCAGGGTAAGGGTTTAGTGAATGGTTAATTTGTAAAGCCGAGCTGGAATTTATCCTTGCCATTTGTTAACAAACTCTACAATAGGATATAAACCTATAAATGGATTTGTTCAGTCACCTTTCAGGTTACCAGAACCCACTCTGAAGATGCTTTAATGGTCTAACACCACTGGAACTGTGGGAAACACTGTGTTTGGAGGAGACATACCTGAGTGCATCCTCCCTCATATTGTCAATGGCTAATGGCTGTCGTCTCTCGCCCAAGGTTTTCCTCTTGATCTCTTTGCCTGTGAGACGCTTACCCCTCCTCGACTCAGCCTGGGAAGGAACACATACACAGTTCACAGTGACCCTCTATGTCATCATTTCCTCATCATCTTGAGTCCTGAGAAGAGTAGCATGTGTCTGACCTTGGCCAGGAAGCCTCCAAAGTTTGCTCCCATGCCAGACAGCACCTTCTTCTTCTTGGCCTCATCATCAGCCTTCCTCTTGGCCTCTTCTTCTTCTTTTCTGTGACGCTCCTCCTGACAGATGAAAATGAATGGTGTGATAAGGAGCCAGAAAACCATGTTTACATGCTAAACGGTCTTTGTATAGCACTTTTCTATGCATTGCAGTACACTCAAAGTGTTCGCCCATTCGCACTCCCAAACGCCCTCACATTCACACACCGGTGTGTGGGGGTTCAGTGTCTTGCTCAAGGACACTTGGATATGTGGACTGGAGAAGCTGGGAATCGAACTGCCAACCTTGCAGTTAGGAGGCGACCCACTCTACCTCCTTGGTCACAGCCGCCACTGTGAACTGATTATTTGAGCACCAGGAGGGGAGTTTTATACTGTTGTAGACTTTATTAAAGAGCTTATATAGCTTTTTATACACTTTATTGAATAATATATACAGTAAATGGATGGACATAGTAATTCATAGGTTGATTAAAAACAAACTTATATAACAGTTGCACAGGCATTGCACCTTTGATATACAACCTACAAAATATTAATAATAATGAAATAATTGAATAAAGTTGAGTTGTTTATAACCTTATTAAATAATAGTGTGTAGGCTGGGTTATAACTGTGTGTGTGTGTGTGTGTGTGTCTGTGCGTGCATTACAGCAATCCTGTTTTGTCTGTCCTTCTCCTTCTCTGCTCTAACCCTCTGGATCTCAGCTCTCTCTGATCGACGGTGTTCCTGATGAAAAGCAAAGAAGCCATGAAACATTTTAAAACAACTTATTAGGTAAATGTAGCTACTGCAACTACATTTTCATAAATGCTTAACTAAATGTTGTTAATATAAGCTCCACTGTCTATTTCCACTCACAGGTGCATAATGTCCCACTCATGTTTCTGCACAGATGTTAGTTGCAAAGTGAACTTACAATTCGCTCTTTGAGGCCGATCAGTTCTTCCTCATCTCTTTTCCTCTGCTCAAAATGGGCATCGATCAGGGTATGCAGCTCCACTAAGTCCTTCTCCATACGCTTTCTGTGGATGTCCTGGTGGGAAAAGAGAGAGCTTATTTTCATGTGGATATCACAGACAATGAATACACTGATACATATTATTTTACCATGATACATTTTTTGGATTATGTGTGTATCCAGACCTTATATCTGCATAGGATCTTTTAACATCCATTTACAACCATTTAATTGGCTCCCACTTCCTCTGATTAAGTTTGAAAATCTGTACATTGCAAGGATTTCTGTGTCTGTATTGGACAAAATGAGATGGGAATGGCATAGAAATGATCGTTTGCAGTATTTTAAAGAATGTACTGTATATGCAGAACAAAAGTGGTCCAAGTACTGATCCTTAAATAACACCATATATGAACTTAGAGCAGGAAGACATAGTATTGAATATTTTGTGCTTTGCCACTTAATAATGAGCAGAGTCAGGCAAACACCTGCCCCTTGAGACCATTCAAGTTCTGAGGATTCTTTAAGAGCGTTATGATCAAACCTAGCAGCTTGACAGATGTAAGCTCAGAATCCATGTTAGTTAAGGTGATCACTTTGCTGTTCAGCCCAGATTCAGTAGACTATTTGGACCTGAACCCAGACTGAACCTGATCAAGGGTAATTCTACTGCATAGACAACTGTCAGAGACAGCTTGCAAAACAGATGTGTATCTCCTATATATGCAGGGTTTACACTTTGTTCAGGTTAACTGAACTGACTTTACACATTACAGCGCTGACAGTTGTGGTTCCCTTATGACACAGCTTCAAAAACAAACAGAAATATAAAAGAAATTAATCTACTTAATCTTTTTTTTTACCAAAACGTACATCAAAATCCACCCTGTCTCCCTCAGGAATCTTTGGAGGAGCAAGTTGAGGTGCCATCGGTCTGGTGAAAAGAAGAAAGCATAAAAGTTCATTGATAGAATTTTGAAAGAATAATTAAAAGATTAAAATATGATTGGTGAAAATGACATTTAAACAGAAAACAAGAACTACTGCAACCAAATACAATGAAATAAAGTGAATCAACATACTTTGGTTTGGGTCGTTCCTCCTCTGTTGATGAGAGAAAGACAGATGAGCAAATAATAATAACAATAATAAAAAAAACAACAAATGGGGGCCCTCAAATGTGTGAAAGGGCCATTTAAAAATCTAAAAGCTGTTAATAATGTGACTGAGACCACAGCAAGCAAGAAAAGAAAAGGCAACATAAAATAAAACAATTTTTATTAGTTGTTTAAAAAAGGACGGGACATAATGTTTATCACCTAAACACACCTTCTTTATCAATTCTCTGTTACACTGCACATGTTCACTATTACATTTTGACAATTTTTATTAAGCCATTCAAAAATATTCTCTAAAAAATAGGGGCGACTGAAAAGTGTGGCCATTTAATCATTTATGTGATCAAATTACTCCAAAGATTATTCAATATTTTGTTTTGCAAGAATACTGTTAAAACAGTCAGGTCAAGAGCAATGTACAAGAGGAGATTTAATGTGAATATGTTAGATAATTAATTGTGAAATAAAATGTGTGAGTCAGCCAACATGGTGCTGGGTTTGAGGAGTTTTACCACCTCAGAGAACCACACTTATACAGTTTCTCACCTTCCTCCTGGGCATCTTCATCTGACGGACCAGCCGCATAAACACAGAGTGAAAGGTGGAGGTGTGGTAACAGAAAATAACACAGAGAGCAATGAAGGAGTCAATGTCACGGTGTGTGAAAAGTACACATGAAAAAGTAACGGAACAGAAAGAGTAAGGTAGAAGAGAGGGAACAATGAAAGATGGAAGGAAGAAAATATGGTTCAAAGGAGAATAAAATGAATATTGAAGTTAAAGAACAAAAGTGTAAAGAACATAAAAGATAGGAAGAAATATCAAGATGTGAAAATGGGAAGAATGAAAACACAAAGAGAAGAAATGAGAGGGGAGGAGAGAAGAGGTGTGGAATGATCAAAGGAAGCCCCAAGTTAATATTGATACAGCACAGGCAACAAACTCAAAGAAATAGTTAGACATTTTGAAAAATACCATCATTTGCTTTCCTGCAAAGAGTTAGCTGAGAAGATTGATTCCACTCATATGGCACGGTAAATAAAAAGCTCACACTGCAGTTGATTAATAAACTATAATTTCCTGTCATGCAATGTGAGCTACACTATCAACTGGAATTAAGAAGAACCCCCTACTGTGGTTACAGGGAAATGTAGTTTTGTGGAACATAATGTAAACATTCATTATTTCATAATGCGGATATGAATACTTTTGTACATTAGCATTTAACTCATATAAACATCATTTGGAATAGAATTAACCTCTTTGGTTGAATTAAACCTTAATTAGAGGAGCTAAAGATCCCCAACTTAGCCATCTGGCGAGCCTGTCGGACTTCCAAGTCCGTGGTCTTAATGATCATGAATGTAAAGACAACCATTACCAGTAATAATTTATAGGTACATTTTGCCATTACGGTAATCCATAACATGGTGGAGCTTTGGGGGTTTAAATCCTCTGAGAAGTTCTTGTAGAGCTAAATCTTACATCATTTATGCGCATGTGTATGATTATGAATGTCAGAACAGATACAATGATTACTGTAGAAATGAATTAAACATTGTACAACATTTAAAGGTAAAATGTGACCCAAAACAGAAGTTATATACCAGTATGTTACTTCTATCTCCCATCCGCGAATTTCTTCAAAAGTTAGAGGTAAATCCTCAAACTGCCTCGAATTAAACCCACAATTTGTTGCGTGACTGGATCAGCTCCTGCCTGTGCAACAGATCAATCCACCTTTTAAAGCTTCATTCATTTACTGGCCACTTGGAAGCAAGTGAATATAATGTTGATATACAATGATGACTTCTTTCTCCACATTTAGTATTAAAATACAATGCAGGTAAACAATATATCTAGATTCTTTCTCAGTTGGAGTCCTGGTGTGATTTAAATTAGGTGTTAGGGTTTTGGACGCGCTTCTTGTTTTGTGCTTTTACTTTGTTACACTTCCTGTATTTGTGCCACTTCACCTGCCTCAGCTTTACCCTGGTTTATGATTACCTCTCATTGTTTCCATTATCCCTTGGTTTTCCGTCTATATATTGTCCTCCCACATTCATTTGATTGTTCAATTGGCCTGTGTTTGCTCCCATTGTTTGTTCATCTGCTCTCACACTCTGTCACCTGTTTTCATGGATTCCTGTCTCAAGTTCACTGTCTTCTCTGCCTCTTTCCCACATCTGGATGGTTTCAGTTGCTTTCTGTGGACAATTATGAGTTTGGGTTTTTTTGGACTCTGTCCCTGACTTGTGTCTGGATGTTATATCCTGGAATCTCAGTTGTGTTTTTTGTTAATTCAGGAAACTGTTTTGGCTTCTGTTAGTTTTAATCACTCCCTGGCCATCCATTCATGCATTTTCTACACCGCTTAGTCCCAAATGGGGTCACGGGGGCCTGGAGCCAATCCCAGCTGGCTGCAGGCGAGAGGCAGGATACACCCTGGACAGGTTGCCAGTCCATCGCAGGGCTAACACGCAGACAAACAACCACTCACAACTCCCTGGCCATTCTGTCTTTATTATTAGTTTTATATTTTTTCAATTTTTATCGCATCATTAGGTTGAGTGTCTTGTTGTCCCTTACATTGTTAAGATAAGTCTAACTTCTTCCTACTCCGTTCAAGCATGTACTAGGTATAAGCAAATTGATAATGCATTTGTGGATTTGTGTGAAATTATGTGTGTTGACATATCAACTGTCTTTACATGCTTGAAAGAATAAATCAAATCAAATCAAATCAAAGTTGACAGATAAGTTTTAGTACAGCATCATCCTCAACTCACACAGTTATAAGTAAGGAGAGGGGAAATGAGGGACAGGCTCTATGATAGATAACAATGAAGAACATTAGCTAGAACATCTTAAATCAGTCTGACTGGTACCTATTCTGTATGTGTACTTTGGATTTGCTGCTGACCTTACCTGCTTCATCCTCCTCTGCCTGCTCAGTCTCTTCCTCCTCAGGCTCGGCCTCCTGCTCAGCCTCTGAGTGAAATGAGGCCCAGAGAAACATGTATAGTTTCATGTCTCATATACTGCAAACCTTCATTGTGTCTGATCAAAATGGACACATCCGACTAAACTTACCTTCTGCCTGCTCCCTG